CTCCTTCCCCCCATCCCCTTTCATGCTTTCCCCTATCCCCTTCCTTGCTTCCCCCCAACCCTTGCCCTGCTTTCCCCCAACCCCTTTTCTGCTTCCCCCCATCCCCTTCCCTGCTTCCCCCCATCCCCTTCCCTCCTTCCCCCCATCCCTTTCCCTGCTTCCCCCCATCCCATTCCCTCCTTCCCCCCATCCCCTTCCCTGTTTCCCCGTATCCCCTTCCCTGCTTCCCCCCATCCCAATCCCTGCTTCCCCCCATCCCCTTCCTGTTTCCCCTATCCCGTTCCCTGCTTCCTCCCATCCCCTTCCCTGCTTTCCCCCATCCCCTCCACTGCCTCCCCCTTTTTCCCTGTTCCCTGTCTCTGTGTTGGCCATTTCACTGAACCTGCTTTCCCCCACCCTCTGCACTGCTTCCTCCCTAACCCTGCCCTGCTTCCCCTCATCCTCTGCCCTCCCTTTCCCTCATCCTCTGTTCTGCTTCCTTCATCCTCGCCCACTTTACCGCCTGCCGGGAAGACAGACACACATGTGGGAGATGTTGGGCAGTTGCAGCAGGAAGGCGGGGAAGGGCGCAGTGAGGTTGTTGTTCTGCAGAGAGACGATCTCCAGTGATGAGAGCGCCGCCCATGAGTCTGGCGGTGGGGTGAGCACTCCCGCACTGGCCAGGTCGCTGGGAGGTGGGAGGGAAGAGGAGGGTAGGTGAGGAGAGGGGAGGTAGGGTTGGTTTAGGGGGAAGAAAAAGAGTGTTGGTGGACACATGGAGGAGGGGGTGGGAGAGTTTATGAGAGAAGGGGGTGAGGGGTGGGAGGAGATGGGGTTTTAGTCAGGGGTTCAAAGTAAGAGCACAACAAGACATGGAGAAGCTTATGTGGGGTAGCAGCGCAATTCACGGGGATGCTTACAGGGTGGAAGAACAGGAGCAGGAAGACGTGAGGGGTGAGGCTCACAGCAGGTGCAGCACTCCAGTGATGAGGCAGGCATGTAAAGGTCGAGCTTAACAGGACCTCAAGGTGAGAGGTTCTGAAGGCGGGAGATGGTGCAAGGAGGGGCGGCACTCACAGCAGGTGCAAGGAGGGGCGGCACTCACAGCAGGTGCAAGGAGGGGCGGCACTGACAGCAGGTGCAGGTTGGAGAGAGCGCTCCAGCTGCCAGGCAGGGGGCCGCTGAAGGTGTTGCTGCCCAACTCGCTGGTGAGGTGATTGGGGTGATGGGGGAATGGGTGGATGGGAGATGGGTTGATGGGGGGATGGGTGGATGGGAGATGGGTTGATGGGGGGATGGGGCGATACGTGGATGGGTGGATGAGGGCATGGGGTGATGAGGTGATCGGGTGATGAGGTGGTGGAGAACGCTATGTTGGCATATGTGCGTTAAATGTAGATACGCGAGAGTGTTTACTCTAAACGCAAAGATGTTAGGTTTGGCACATGCCATTTGGGCAGGGAAAAAAACTGTCAGGCAGGGCAAAAAAAAAAAAAAAAAACATCCATATTCAGTTTCATGCGGGAGTTTCATGGGGGTTGTGTAAGAAATAGAGCTAGAACTGATACATTAGGTAATGAGCTCAAAGCTTTAAGTACTTCAAGAATGAGCAAGGGAAGGATGGGAAGGGAATCGGGGGCAATCCCACAAAGATCGGCTCAAATCTCCAATTGGTGGGGTTAGAGATTTTGGTTGACCACAATTAGGTTCGGTTGGGATTTGGGTGTACACCCAACCAACACAAGCTACAAACTGCACTAACCGTAAAGTGCCACCTATAGGACCCGCCGGTAAGAGGGTCCCCGGGACTCTTGAAGGAGTGGGGGGACTCTTATTGCGGCAGGTTTTGTGGGGACCCCCCCTTTGTCGCTCATCAATATACGACCCCCCTTTTCTAAAAATTGTTGTTGTTATTGTTATTGTGAGTCATCTTTTATTGGCAAAAAATCGAATTCTGACAGGCCTTTTGTGTCAGACTCGAATTCTGACACTTTGTTTGTGTCAGACTCGAATTCTGACACAAATCTGACGCGTCGCTCGCTCGAAATCTGCGCAGTAAGGCTGTTTTTCGTTACAAATATAAGACCCCCCCCCCCCCCCCCCCCCGCCCCGAATTAAGCCGTACACCCTAAAGAACAGAATGATAGTTGATAAATAAGTGTACCCCGGGTCTTAAAAATTTGCAACCGCCATAATGTCCACCCTAGCATTTTTTTGAGCATTTGTAGAGAGTCCCCCGGGTCCTATAGGTGGCACTTTACGGAATCTGGGATATAAAAAGGCACAAGTACAAATGTTGAGATTGAGGGCTAACACTAACAGGTTATGTTTCTTTTCTTAGAACATAAAGTGGCAACAAAAAACAGAAAGAATACAGCAAGAGTCTCATAATGATCCTATACACCACCTGTACCTCGAAATAGGCATGAGCATCTGGCCCGACCCGACCCGACCCGCCCCGACTTGGCCGGGCCAAGAGGGTTACCGGATCGGTTCGGATCGGGCCAGCCCCGGGCCAGGATTAGGCCCTGACCCGACCCGGGGGTACAGGGCCGGGTTAGGCCTGACCCAACCCGGGGGTACAGGGCCAGGTCAGGCCTGACCCGACTTCAGGGTCGGGCCGACCTGAGGCCGGGTCGGGTCAGGAAGCCCACTCTCGCCCGCCGATCTGCGCAGATCGGCGATTTCGTTGCAATATATGTGAACGTTGGGATTTTGCCTGTAAATTTCTCATCCTAGGCGCTCGTTTCCAACAAATGTGTGGGAACAAACTTTTCCAACCAATTTGCCACTGTTTACCACCCTTTACCGCATTGAATCTTTACAGTTCCCAACCACCCCCTCCCACTCTTTACAGATCTCACGACATTTATCCTCTGCAGCACATACTGTAGTCGACTAGTACTTGCATAAGAACTAGGGTTTCTGGGCTGACTGTTAGATAGGTTGCGTTCTATGTTCAGAAGTAGACTTCAGCTACGATTGATTCGGTGTGAGATGTCAAGAGGTAAAACTTGACCCCCCGATATCGACTACGGTTTCAGCAAGTTTTGAAACCGGGTCGGATCGGGTCGGGCCAGGTTATCCTGTTTCCCAACCCGACATTGGGTCGGGTCGGTTTTACGCCTGGGTCGGCCCGACCCAACTCGCCCGGGCCAGGACATTGAAGGTCCTGGCCCGACCCGGGCAAAATCTTGGGTCGGGTCGGGTCGGCCCAAGTGGACCGGGCCTTTTGCTCACACCTACCTCGAAACATCATAAACCAACCAACCCGAAACAATCAAATGTTCATATGGGCGCTTGCGTCAGCAAGCGCCCGTTCGCACTGCCCGCGGGAAAAAGAAAATAAACCCCACACGGACGGCATGCCATTCGGGAGCCTCAACCCTAAAATTTTAGGGTTGAGGCTCCCGAATGGCATGCCGGTCACGATGGGGTTTAGTTTTTTCCTGCCCGCGCGTAGAGCTTGCGCTACGAATCCACCAAACTACCGGGCGCCAGGCGCCCGGTGATTTGGTGGGTTAAAAGATTTTGTAACTCGCTGTTGACCGTTTGACATGGGTCTCTTCTGTCAAACTTCGGTTTTTGTGGTTCGTATTGCTCGAGGTGCTTGTAAATGGGGTGCAACTGGCTGGTACCCTAATACACGGGTGCAGAGTTTCCATCGCGGGCAGGGCAAATTCGCGTGCAGGGGTTGGGCATCTTGTGTACACACTTCGAATGTGGAGACATTTCCAGCATTTCTATCCCCGCTAACATAACACTCGCAAATTACACAGTCTTGTACGAAATGTAGCACTGACCTGCCAGGATACTGTCAAATGTAGCACTGGCATTTCAGGATACCTCATAGTGTGCAGCCCTGACAATTTAGGGCAAATTCGGATTTCCCAAAAAACTGCCCTGAGGCCTCAGTGTACCCCCAAACGAATCTGAGGGCCTGGAGCAGGAGAGCGGCAAGTTACGATAAATTCTCGAAGTATTCCGTAGCTGGTCTATCAGAGAATGGAGAATTTTGGGAGATGTGGAGTTCATGGAGAGGTCTAACTCAGAATGAGAATGAGGTGAGGAGGAATCTAGGAAATGAGAAGCATTCAGCAAAAAAGATGTGGGGCGGCGAGGGAATTTCTTGATTTCTTCCTTGAACGAAAGGTGCACGCGAATTGAGCGGATGTGTTACGGTATGATTTTGTAACCAGGCACCACCACCCACGGTCCTGACAAGCCAGCTCGCCAACGAGGCTCGGGTGACAAGACACACAACGAAGAAAGCGGACCGAGCGAGAAAAGCGACACCGTTTGCTCATTGGCGCAGATGCAATGTTGACTCCGTTGACGGAGGGGCGGAAATGCACATAACAGCAATTGGTGAGAACAGAACATGCGCAACTTACCGTCATACCCCGGATATAAGCGCCACCCTCGGATAAGCGCATGGCGCTTTTAATTGGTGTGTGGTGCTTATATCCGCTGCTCGATTACAAGCGTACCCCCTGAAAAAAACTTGTTTTATTATAAGCGCACGTAAACTTTAAATTTTGAAATGTGTTCAAAACGCTGTAACGATTTGAACTTTAGCAGGCGGATGTGTTGCAGATTCGGTTCCCTTCACATTCGGACCCTGCAATGGATGAGGGTCCAGTCAGCAAAAGCTGTCAGGAGCTGGATGTGAGTCAGATTCACTCTCATCCCAGCGCGCGCGAGAATTTCACAGACGACCCCATGTAACTTCGACTCGATTGAAAGGCAAGCACGAGATATACAGTTTCGTGCTAAAAAAACAAAAAAAAATATAAATGTCATTTTATAAACGCCGGCGCTTATAAATTTACTCGATTATAAGCCCACCCCCCTAAAAAAACCTGTTTTATTATTGCCCCCCATGGGGGTATATCCGGGGTATGACGGTAGGTTAGCATATATAATAAATTGTTGAATGATTCTTGTCCAAAGATGTCCCAATATTGGCTAGGGTTTGCACACGCAATGACAAGGCATTATACTACAGTGAAAACGATGTACTAGAAACACAAAAGTGTTCCATCTCCCCATCTCGAGCCATCAATCCATCCGGCCTTCAAGTGTGCGAGTAATACCGTAATTTTGTCAAGAGTACTGCAAGGAAAGGAAGGAAACCAATCAGAGGGGTGAGATGAGAAACATGAACCACCAAAGAGGATGTGCAGGTAATCATTGTGTTACCAAGGCAGAACAGAAACACACCGTGCCTTGCACTATGGACCTCACATGACATGCCAAGTGCCTCCTACCGAATCTACTAACATGGCATGCATGCATTAAATGCATGCACCCACTCATGGCATGCATGCATTAAATGCATGCACCCCCTCATGGCATACATTCGCATGACATTCATGCACTCACATGACATCCACCCCCATGACACCCATCCACCCACATGACACCCGACCACCCACATAAAATCCACCCACACACTCACATTTTCCCATGCACTCACGTGACCCCCATGCACTCACATGACCCCCATGCACTCACATGACCCCCATGCACTCACGTGACCCCCATGCACTCACATGACCCCCATGCACTCACATGACCCCCATGCACTCACATGACCCCCATGCACTCACATGAACCCCATGCACTCACATGACATGCACGGTGGTACCCCGCGTCCCTGTCCACAGCCGCCAGCAGCACCTGGGAAATGGTTTCAAACAGCTCCTCTGGCTGCAGCCCTCCCATGACCCACCAGTTGCCTCCCATCCCATGTACTCACATGACATGGACAGTAGCCCCCCATCCACTGAGCGCGTCCCTGTCCACAGCGGCCAGCAGCGCCTGGGAAATGGTTTCAAAAAGCTCCTCCGGCTGCAGCCTCGGCTGCCAGTACGACTCGCATGCGCCGAACAACGACTCGTCCGCCGTCCCCGCTACACCAAACTCGGGGCACTCCTCACTGTGGGGTGGGGGGATGGGGAAGTGGGCGTGGGGGTGGGAGGGCAGGAAGAGGGAGGGGGGAGGGGGGGTGTTAGTGAAAGCTGCAAGGTGGGAAAGGAGGAGAAAGTTGACTTGTGAGTGCGTCTGACAGCACCTTCCCACCCTGGCTGCCAGTACGACTCGCATGCGCCAAACAGCGACTCGTCTGCCGTCCCTGCCACTCCAAACTCCAAACGCTCCTCTCTACGGGGTGCAGCGGTGGTGGGAAGGGAGTGGAGGGTCAAGGGAGGGGGGAAGGAGGGAGGGGGGAGCCAGAAGCAGGATTGGGGGGGTGGGGGGGGGTGGGAAGGGGGGTTGGAGGGCGGAGAGGAAGGGGTTGGTGGGAGGTAGGAAGGGGGTGGAGTGAGAAGGCAGGGTGGGGGAGAGGGAGAAGAGAGACTGTTTGTTCAAGAGGCGCCCTCGCTGTGCAATGGAGGGAGGGGGGAAGATCGGGCTTGGTGAAAGAAGAGAAATGGTGGCAGGGAGGGCGGGAAGGTGGATTGGCAGCGACTCCAACGAGGCACGGCGCTGACTGACAAGATTGGTAGTGAGGTCAGTGACACAGCAGTCACTACACTTCGATGCGGTCAAGGAAAGGGAGGTGGAATGGGGGACGGAAGCAGCAGGGAAGGATCTGAAAGGGGAGAGTGCAGAAGGGAAGGTACCGAAACGAAAGAGAGCACCAGCACTCACTATGCGCCGATGAGGTCAGTGGCACAGATGAAGGGCGATGGAAGAGGGGACAGAAGTAGAAGGGAACGCACGACGAGGAGAGACAGACAAGAGAGGCACTCACTAGGCGCCGATAAGGAGAGACAGACAACTCAGGCACGGGAGGAAAGGCAACTCAGTATTCATGACCTGATCAGTGAAGTGATATTCTCCTTGCCTCACACTCGCTTGCAGCCGGCAGTCAGCACACTTGGTGCTCTGATGCTGACTTTACCCGAATGGTGCTTCTATCACAACGCAATTGTGTTTTAAGGCAGTTGCTTTTGAGACGCCTAAAAAGTGACGGCGGGTTGATAATTAAACAAAGAGGTGAAGGGGCAGAGCTAACGCACAGCTGGCGCACAGCTGGCGCACAACAACTGCCGAAATGACGCAAATGCGCGGCGAGCCTGCGCTCGTTGCGAATGCTTGAAACAACAAGGACGCAAATACTGGCCCCACCTGCGCTCGTAGAGGATGGAGCTGACCTGCGCTCGTAGAGGATGGAGCTGACCTGAGCTCGTAGAGGATGGAGCTGACCTGCGCTCGTAGAGGATGGAGCTGACGAGGTGGGCGAAGGTGGCGGGCGGCATGACTCGGTCCTCCCTCAGGGCGAACAGCTTGTGGCGAAACTCCAGACGCTGCTTGCTGTGATGGTGGAGCAGAGGGACGAAAGGGGGGGGGGGGGGGGAGGGAGGGGGGGTGCAAAAAGGGAAGGGGGGGTGAGACGAGGATGTGATCGTCGGAAGTGCAGAGCAGGGGAATAGAGGTGACAAGGGAGAAAAGCTTGTGGGGACACTGCAGGCGCTGGTTGCTGCAAAGGGCTTGAGAGGTCCCATCCCAGTAACGCCATGCCTTCCTCCTACCTGCAATCCCCCAGCTGCCCTCTCAACTCCTAACTTATCCTTCGCCTCTTACCTCCTTACTTCATCCCTCCCCCCACATCCCTCCCCCACATCCCTCCCCCCACATCCCTCCCCCCACATCCCTCCCCCCACATCCCTCCCCCCACATCCCTCCCCCCACATCCCTCCCCCCACATCCCTCACTCCACATCCCTCACTCCATCAACCTGCCCCACCATTCTAGGCGTCACACTCGCGCCCTGCACTGCACATGCCAGCCAACAGGCCGTCCGTACCTACTTTCTGCGTGCCATCCGCACCTGCCAGCCATCAGCATGCCTCCCTGCACACCCAACCATGCACTGTGGAGTTAGGGACGGTGAGTTAGGAGACGAGAAAGCAGCGGACCCAGAGAGAGACACACCAGGCAGCAGCACCTTCATCCACACGCCTCCTCCCCCCACCACCCCCCCTTCTCCCCTCAATCGCCCTCACCTCACCTTCATGATTCATCGCCATCTCGAGCAGCTCCCCCGGAACCTCCTGCCCCTCGACCGCCAGGCACCCCAGCAGCTCGCCCTCACCTGTCCGTGAAACCCATCACCACTCCTCAGCCAAGTCATGTCAAGTCAACTGCGCCCCACCCCTCACTCTCACCACCAGCCCCCCCTCACTCTCACCACCAGCCCCCCCTCACTCTCACCACCAGCCCCCCCTCACTCTCACCACCAGCCCCCCCTCACTCTCACCACCAGCCCCCCCTCACTCGGCGTTGGCAGCGCCCACCTCCCCAACGGTGATGCGCACGGGGTGGGTGAGCACGTGGCGGGCGAGGCGCTCGATGCGGCGCGGCATGGTGGCGGAGAAGAGCAGCGTCTGGCGGTCAGGGCGGATCTGCGCCACGATGGCCCGCACCTGCGGGGGGATCGGGTTGAGGCAAAAGAGGAGGGTGGAGCAGCAGGGTGTCAGCAGTGTTGAGTCATACAGTGTCAGGACAGCAGTGTTGAGTCATACAGAGTCAGCACAGCAGTGTTGAGTCATGGTTCTCAGAGAGCGGAAGAGCAGTCATACAGTGAGGCTTAAGCGAAAGTACAACAGTGCGTTACGATACCTGTGGCCATGGCGAAAGTACAGCAGTCATAAAGTGCTCAACAAGCTCTCACCTGTGGTTCGAAGCCCAGGTGGAACATCATATCAGCCTCGTCCAGCACCAGAAACGTGCAGCGTCGCAGCGACAGCGCCTTCATCTTGAGCATGTCGATCAGCCGCCCGGGCGTCGCCACCACCACCTCCACCCCGCCCTTGAGCTCTTTAAACTGGTCGAATTTCGACATCCCGCCGAACACGCCCGCGACACGGAGGTTTAGGGGTTTCGCGAATCGTCTCGCCTCCGCGTGGATCTGCGCGGCCAGCTCGCGCGTCGGCGCGCAGATCAGCGCGATCTGGCCCTCCCGCACCCCGCGCGCGGCTGGTCCGCCGCGTGGACGATCAGCGGGAGGACGAACGCGGCGGTTTTTCCGGAGCCGGTTTTCGCGACGCCGATGACGTCACGGCCGCTGAGGATGATGGGGAGCGCGGCGGACTGGATGGGCGTGGGCGCGGAGTAGCCGTGCTTGCGCACTGCGCCCATCAGCGGGGGGGGGCGCGGCGTGCGCGAACGCACTGATCGGCCGCGGCACGTCGAAGCCCGACGTGCGGATTGAGAGCGACGCGAGCCGCGCCGCCACGTCGGCTGCTGACATGGCAGTGATGTCAGGATGCTCTTAATTAGAAATCCTTCTCGAACTCGTCGTATTCGATCGCGGAGTGGTCCACGTGGCCTAGCGCGTCCATCTTGCCCTTTAACAAAGTTACCGAGTTGGCCACTATCGGATTATCGTCCAAGTCGTTCTCTAACGCGGACCCAGCCACGCCGCCCGCAGCACCTGCGGCGGCGGCGGCGGCGGCAGCGGCGTCGACGGCCTTGGCGGCGGCGTAGACCTCCTCGTCCGAGTCGTACCCGCGCCCCATCACCGCCTCCGCCGCCACCAACATCCCCGCGCTCTTGCGCGCGCGGAGGAACGAGTCGAGCAGATCCGCCTCCTCCTCCTCCGCGCGCTCCGGCTTTGCCGCTTCTCCCGACCCCCCGCCCTTCGCGCCCGCCGCCGCCGCTGCTGCGCGAGTGGTGGCGGCGACCGCGTCCTCCTTCACCTTCCGCTCGATGCCCGACATGAACGCGTCGAGAGGATCCTCCTCCTCCTCTTCCGCCGCCGCCGCTCGTCGGTTTCCCTCGTCGTCTTCTCCTTCCCCGAAACCAGTGGTAGTGGCGCCCCCCGCGTCCCCGTCATCGCGGCATTCGATATCCGCTGTATCGTCGTCCTCGTCGTCTGGCAGCGATCGCCGACCCGAGCCGCCACGGTAGCCGGCGTTAGCTGCCGCCGCCGCCGCCGAAGCCGCTGTACGAGCCGGCGGGATTCACGGGCGGCATGTACGCGCTTCCCCCCGACCGCACGAAGCCGAAACCGCTGCTTCCGCTTCCGCTCCCGCCCGCGCCGCGGCCGTGGCGGAAGGTTCGGCGGAAGCATCTCCGCCGGCTGCGGAGAATTTGCGCTTCCACATGCCCGGGCGAGAGAGGAAGAGGCAGAGGCGGCTGCAAACGAAGCTCTCAAACACTCTCGTGAATTCCTGAGGTGATCTCTCCTTCCTGAAAACTTGTAAGAACACGACAGCAGTGAGGCGAGCGGCGCGTAACCTATTGGGCTGGGGAAACCTACTTCGAGAGACTTGAGTCTCGACGAAGCGGCGAGTGTTGGTGAGGGGCGGTTCCGCTATGGAGTGTCACGCTATAGCAACCTGTAGGAAACCATATAAAACGTACGCATGAAGACCGATACCAGTAGGTGTGGTTGGAATAAAGCAGCAAGTGTCATGGGAAATTGATAGAGCCTCAGATGGAAGACCAGTCCCAATAAAGTGGGATTCTATCACGAAAAGCACCTCTCCATAACATACACGTGGGAAGCCCATTCAGAGATCGACACGTATGCAACAGCTCCGCAACCAAGATCCAACGATAAATCCCGATCGAGCCGTCTCACGAGTCCGAGTCGCAAATATAGTAGATTGGATCGCAGCGGGGGAATGTAGGCCACAGCATACCCGTATTTGAAGGGCATCATCGAAGCTAGATCCACAAAATCTCCTCGCTTCCCAGGGCTGATTTTGTGATAGTTTAACATTTCAAGTGATACGCCGAGGACACCTTTCGGGTTTCGAGATTTGTTCGTGTCGTCTGAGCAAGCAAGTCCCACACACTCATGTATATCTCTGGGGAAATCTATGTCTGAAGTTTTTCCATGCCCTCACTCTCCTACGAGGCAATTTGACCCCAACTCAGAACAGGCAAGGGTAGTTGTTCTTATCGCGAAAGAAAATCGGGAAGGTAGTGTAAACTCGAACAGAACCTGTCTGCGGAAGGAACTGCACTTTGTGAGCCCAACGGCAGACGTACACGCTAGAAACTCCTACAACAATCCTGCTTGGCCGTCTGATCACCCGGGTCGCGGTTGAAGGGCCGCTCTGGGGTAAGCCACTGGCTGCTAGCAGCAGTGAGAGAGCACTAGAAGTGCTTGCCGCCATCGCTTCCACTCGGTCTTTCGCCTTCTGTACAGTCACTCCGCCATTTTTCTTAATCCGTAAGAGAAATTTCGCGCTGAGAAAGTTTGGAGCCGTTTCCGCCATTGCTATCTCGGAAAAACGGCCAATCTCCCCATGGAGCGTGCAGCCCTCGGCGCGCTGCTCCTGCTGACGTGTCTCGCAGTCTCACGCGTTGACTGCGTTCCCCTCGCCAATTCCCAGGGTATAGCAACTTACGTTTGGCGCTTGGAACGGTGACGAGAGAGGAGGTGGGAGAGGAGGCAAGTGTATAGAATTCGACGTTGTCTCGACTAACGTCACATTGACTCGTCGCTTCTCCCTGCTCCCTTTCTCCATCGCCCTTTCGTTGAGCACAACTGTGATGCGATAGGTCGAACCATCAGAAGCCGTCCTCCTTTCTTCAACTCCCTGCCTTCCCTTCCTGCCGCCAGCGCAAGTTCTGCTGGACTGTCAGAAGGCGTGGAACACAACGATCGATGGCTGGGTGGTTGGTGGGGAATGCAGCAAGGCAAGGAACGTCACGTGCGATGCCAAGGGAATGATAACAGCCATGTGAGTGGTAACAGCCATGTGAGTGGTAACAGCCATGTGAGTGGACTCATGGGCGGCCCGTGGATGGAATGGTAGGCCCTCGTGGTTTCACCACGCCCTTCTTGTCCCTTATGGTCCAATTCTGGTCCAAACGATTCATTTCGTTCTTGTTCGAAAGTTTTGTTCTACTCGTATGCTCTCAGCCTGCTGTAATATCGTGCATTATAGGGTCGTCTACCTTCATTCAGTCACCCAATTTGATAAGATCAGAATCACAACGCGCTGGTTGTGTGGATCGCAAAGCCGTGTGTGTGCTGAGAAGCCCGAAACCCTCAGAGAGCTTTCTCAATCTCACCTTGTTGAGTCTACACATGCAAATACTACGTCATTCAATACTCTTGACACATGCATGCATGTTCTTTCTCGTCGTCTCATCAGAAACATGGAAAAGAACAGCTTCAATGGCTCCATTCCCGACTCCATCAGCAACCTTGCGAGTCTCAATACCTTGTGAGTGCCATTTTCTCCATTCTCTCTTGGGCTTTGTCTCGAGTTGGAGGTATGCTCGCATTAATCTCTGTTCTGCCAATAGACAAGCAGGTCTTTAAGCCCCGGTCTGGCTTGCGACAAACGAACTGCAGGCATTTCTTTTCCATGTGTCAAATCCGAACCGGCCCTGCACCGCGTTGGGCCTTTTTGCGAAGATCCAGGCCTGCTCGTGGCCCAAAACGATCCTAGATCCTGAGTTGCAGGGTGTTTTCGATAAAACCCTGAACCTTCAAGGAAGGGGTTTGGGTCGGCGGCGAATCTGTCAACCACGCAGCTCGGCGAATTATCAGTTTGAGTTCGCCAGTCTGCGTGAACTTTTGTAAAGTCTGTTTAGTTCGGCACAAACCCACCGCAAAACGCAGGTGGTTTCCATTCGGCGGTCCGCACGAAATTCACGTGGTTTCCACCACCGACCTGCGAGGATTGGAGCATTTCGGTCGAATGCCGATCAGTGCAGATCGGGCACCGGGATTGACGACCCGGCCCGCGCATCTGACGGGTCAAGCCGAGCTGCTGGCTGGGCCGCTTGCTCTTGCCCAGTCCTGATTCTCAACACATGCATGCATGCTTGCCTGCCTGCCTGCCTGCCCTTGGTTCGCTGTGATTGTTTCAGGGTCCTGGCGTACAGCATGCTAACCGGCAACCTTTCTGAGTCCATTGGCAAGCTGCCAAATCTTCTCCACTTGTGAGTACCGTGCTTGCTCGGGCTTTGGCTCAGGGTTTAGGGTCTGTTGATTGATGCTTTGAGGACTGTAGGTGCCGCCATGAGACCCTAAACCCTTAGGACCATTTGGACCCTGCTTTCCAGCCGTCTTCTATTATGCATCCTGCTGTTGCTGTATTATGCATTACGATACGAACCACCTGATTCTGCCTCGGATCCCTGACACATGCATCTAAGCATTTGTATCCCTGACACATGAATGCATGCATGCCATGCGTTGTGGCAACAGGGACCTTTACTCCAACAACTTGACTGGCGCCATTCCCGAGTCCATTACCAACCTCGCAAATCTTAATCACTTGTGAGTGCCCATCTTTTTTAGGGAGGGCTTTGGTTCACATTGAATTGGAGCTTTTCGTGCCTTGAGGTTTGCAGGTGATTCCATGAGCTGTGTACTATTGGTATGTGCTCTGCTCTCCTTCTGTCTCCTATCCATTCTCTCCTACTGTTGCTGTAGCATGCATTGCCAGAAGGGATCCCTGCCAGCCTGCACGTCTTCCTGTGCACACGGATGCGCACTGCACAGGCCCAAGTCAAACTCGGATAAAGCAATTTCCCTTTGTTGAATTTTTGGCTCAAACCAAGGTGGTTGTGAACGAACGTAGTCAAACATGTGACAAAGGGTTGTGGCTGGTCCTGAGCCGAGACATCTCGTGACGAGCTGAGCAGACGTGTTCCATCACATGACAGCGTTGCGTGGTCTTGCCTGTCTCTGCTTGTCAACATGTCCCGGGCCACTCATGGCTTGGCTCTTGCGGCTTGTACAGCCGGTTGGCACGACTTCAAAGAGCCAAACATTGGAGAAGGGTCGCTTGGGCCATCTGTGTCTGCCCAATTTGGATTCTCAACACATGCATTCATTCATGCATGCATGCATGCGTGCCGTCCGTTGTCTTTTCAGAGATCTGGCGAGCAACATGTTGACTGGCATCGTTCCGGGCTCCATTAGCAACCTTGCAAATCTTACTTACCTGTGAGTGCCATGCCATGCGCCTTGGGCCTTTGCTGTTGTGTGCTGTGCTGCAGGTCGGCTGTGCTCTGCTCTGCTGTGCTGTGCTGCAGGTTGGCTTTTGAAGCGGCTCAAAAGGTGCCATGACATGCCCCACCGGGCTTTGCTGTGCTGCAGAGCGGGCCTGTTTCGACTTGTCATTGCCCGGCTCATGCGCTTGTCATTGCCCGGCTCATGCGCTTGTCATTGCCCGGCTCATGCGCTTGTCATTGCCCGGCTCATGCGCTTGTCATTGCCCGGCTCATGCGCTTGTCATTGCCGACTCATGCGCTTGTCATTGCCCGGCTCATGCAGCTTGTTGATTCAGCTTGGCGCGACTTTAGATAACGAGCCAACGAGCCAACGAGCCGAGCTCACCTGGGCCACTTGCTCTTGCCTAGTCCGGATTATCAACACATGCATGCATGCATGCCCTTCATTGACTTTACAGTGATCTGAACCACAACAAGTTGACTGGCACAATTCCTGAGTCCATTACCAGCCTTGCAACACTCAATAACTTGTGAGTGACATGCTTACTTGTGGATATTTGTCCCAGATTGCAGCTCTTTATGCCCTGAGATCTGCACTTCATCCTTGCACACGGTGGTGCACAGGCTCAACTCGACTGGAGTCAACTTTTGAGTCGGCTCGAAAGGCACACAGGCTCGACTCGAGTCAAACTCGGATAAGCCCTCCCCTGCTTACAATCGAGCCAAGCTGGCAAATGGCTATGCCCCTTTGTTCTCTGAACCAAGGTTAAAGAAAAACCGTAAAAAACGGACCGTACAATACGAAAACCGTAATTTTGAACCTTGCTCTGAACAGCGACCTGAGCTATAAAATGTTGACCAGTTATGAGGCGCCTCAAAAGGTTATGCCCCTTTGTGCTATGAACTGAACAGCGACCTGAGCTACAACATGTTGACCAGCACCATTCCCAAGTCAATTGGCAGCCTCGCAAACCTTACCAAGTTGTGAGTGTCATGCCATGCCTGCTTCCGCTTTTTGCGTTACGTCCATTGTGTGGCTCTTCGTGCTTTGATATCTGCCAGTCTCGCCTTTGCACATGTCCACTTTGGGTAGCATGTCAGTTCAACCCAGCCAGACGACTTGAGACGAGCTGAATGTCGTCCCTAAGACAAGGAGAGCGAACGAGCCGAGCTGGCGGCTCTGGCTGGGCCAAGCTAATCCCAATTCTGAACACATGCATGCCTTTGGTTGTCTTATCAGAAACCTGGCCCACAACATGCTGACCGGCACCATGCCTGCGTCCATTGGCAACCTTGCAAGTCTTCAGTACTTGTGAGTGCCATTCCTGCTTTGCTTCGTCCTTTGCTACAGATTGAAGCTCTTCTTGCCTTGACAACAGCAGATGTTTCCATGAAAGCTGTGTGCTGTTGTAATGTGCTTCCCAGCTGTTGATTGTCTACTGCTGTTTGTATCATGCATGACCAGGAGTGAGTGCTTGCCAGCCTGCACCTCCTTCCTTCTGTGCAAAGGGACGGGCACAGGCCTGAGTTAAACTCGGACAACCCCTTCCCCTTGTTCGAATTCATCCGAGCAGGCAATGAGCGTAGCTGGACATTTGAAAAACGGTCGTGGCTACCTCCTTTTGCATGCCTGTTGTTCCTTCCTCTCCTTTTCTCAGGCAGCTTAGTTACAACAGCATCAGTGGCACAATTCCCGAATCCATCGGGGGGCTTTCGCGCCTTACGAACATGTAAGTGCCTTACGAACATGTAAGTACCTTACGAACATGTAAGTGCCTTACGAACATGTAAGTGCCCCACGAACATGTAAGTGCCTTACGAACATGTAAGTGCCTTACGAACATGTAAGTGCCTTACGAACATGTAAGTACTTGACTGATTGTCAGTGCTTCTGGGTCTTAGTCCAGATTGGAACTTTGCAAACTCGATGCTATGCAGGTGTAATAAACGCTCACACACTTGTGTTCGGCCATTCCTCTCCCTGTTTGACACCCCCGTTGCACGAAATACAGTTGGCTTCTCAACAACAGCCTGAGCGGCTCGATACCAGCGATCGTGAGCAGGCTCCAATCTGTGGCCATCCTGTGAGCTTCTTCAGTACTAGGTTTTGCTGACTTGCTTCTCATTTCTGCATCTCACACTCTCGTGTATCTTTATGTTTCCTTTGGTTGCATCCAACTTCACTGTAGTGTAATTGAAGGATACTATAAGAAAAGGCCGAGTTCAGAGCCATGAAGTAGGGGGTCATTCATAGCCTGTTTGGGGTGGATCTTACGATTTATGTGCCAATTCATGTCGTGCTCTGCACTCAAGGTAAGGGAACGGACAGTTTGGGCTTTTCAGTTTTTTTTTCCAGCAGCAAGTGAGGACAGGTGTTTGACTAGGCATGAGCATGAGGCGAACTCGAACATGCACGAACACGTTCACTTTGGTATTTGTTTTTTTTTTTTTTTTTTTTTCACAGGCCTATGTTTGACAATCGCTCTATCTCCACATATCTGTGCAACGCTTTCGGTTTCTTGCCATATGCACATATGCGCCCTCCATTCGTCTCCAACCAGCAACTTGGGCTACAACAGCCTGGCCGGCTCAATCCCCGACGCCATCACCACACTCACAAACATTGCTAGTCTGTGAGTGCGTTTCGTTTCCTGGGTTCACAGACATGGGGATTGATAGTTAGTTGCTTGCGACCAAACAATCTCGTGTGCACTTCAGATCAGATGCTGCATGCTCACTATCATCTCCTTGAGGAACAAATTTTCTGCCTCTAACATTCTGACTGAAGGGCATGTTTAGACTTTGAAAGGAGTTGACAAGTGCTCCTAGCAGGTGGCATCAGCCAGTGGCTTGGCTCGCCTGTTGCCAAGCCAAGCTGCCTGCCTGACTTAGGCTTATTCCATGTCAAGACTTGACCCTCGTGGGCCCGCCCTCGTCATACAGCATGCATAGCCCGCCCTTGTCATACAGCATGCATAGCCCGCCCTTGTCATACAGCATGCATAGCCCGCCCTCGTCATACAGCATGCATAGCCCGCCCTTGTCATACAGCATGCATAGCCCGCCCTCGTCATACAGCATGCATAGCCCGCCCCGAAGCTCCGCATGTCTGTACTGCAGCGCGCACATATCATTCTCTGCACTTGATAACCACTATCTCGTTGCATCTCCTCATTCTTCACTCAGTGGTTCGTTCATTTCATCCTTTGATTTTGGTTATGGAAATCTTGTGCACTATCATTGTGCTAGTATCATTTCATCCTAGTATCTTTCATTTGATTTGCAGAACTATCCATGAAAACGACTTGAGTGGACCCATACCACCAGGGCTGGGCAACCTTCTCAAATGTGAAACTCTGTGAGTGAGCTGCTTGGCTTTTAGGGTTGGATCGCACTAATTGTACTCTGTGAGTGACTGGTATTCTGTATTTGTTTCCAGGTAGTCGATTCCACTTGCTTTGCTTAACAACAACATGATTTTTCAGCACTTGCATTCGATTTGACTAAAGGATCTTCTTGCTCTATGTTACGCTGACTATTCTTAGAGCCACTTCATCAGTCCTTTCCTTTCCCCCTACCCTTTGATGCATGCATCACCATTGGTGCGTTTAGCTTGATGAGTTCAGCTTACACCCTTAGCCATACATATATGGAACTCGCAGACCCTAACTGTTGTGAATAACTCGCCATTCGTATATGGAACATGTTGTGGATCGCACAAGTCCTGTACACATTGGTTCTTCCACACCTCCTAAGCAAACAAATCTATTTGCAGGAATGGGCTCACCACAAGAGACAAACAACCGTTGCCATTTCCAAAGCGACATCTTATTGCACACATCCCATCCCACCGCATGCACTTCACTCACGGCAACCATGCCCTCCATCCCGCTGCTGCCTCGTCAGATTTCTTCAAGGCAACAACCTGACAGGCCCAATTCCTGACTCCATTATGAAGCTCACAGCCCTTCGCACCTTGTGAGTGCCACTGTACTGTACAATCCCCCCTTGAGTTTACTTGTGAGCCACGCAGCACCGCGTACCTGCCTGCATGCTCATTCTCAGGTTGCAAGTTTGCACTCCTCGTGCTATGGATGTAGGCACATGCAGGTGCTGTTCAAATCTACCTGTTTGATGACCAGGCCGTGAGAATGGATAAAGAATACTCCGATTGCAATCTGGGGGTTTCATGTCAGTGCTCCTTAACCATTGCGCCAATGAGTAAACGTGCTCCTTTTTTCCGCCTTAACGTGTTGCTTAGATGGACGGCACTGAAAATAGGGTAAAAATACTGGACCTTTTTTACAATCCGTTTGTCCACATTGGACCGAAGCTTCACTTGGAGGCCAGCAAGCTGCCATTCGACCCTTCATCTCTGATATGATTTTATTGCCTTCCCGTGATATGATTGCAGAAGAGCTTCTGGAAACAAGCTGACTGGCTCAATTCCAGAGACAATCAGCAACCTTCAGAACTTGGACACCTTGTGAGTCTATTGATCCAATGACTGTACACCATTTTCTTGCACTTACATTCCAATCTTTGTTCTCACCTGGTTTCAACAATCAAAACTAGTAGTTTTTAGTGATTGGACTCTTGTTTGCTCCTTGACATTTCCTGTTTACATTTTCTTGTTTGCTAATGTAAGCTACAATAATCTTCCCATCATCGCCAGGGTTCTTCGCGGTAATAACTTGACCGGATCCATTCCATCCTCGATTGGACGTTTTATCAAACTCAAATTATTGTGAGTGGGGTTCAGATGAGTGGCATGCAAAAGTCCACTTGTTTTCAAAATTCTTGCACAGTTGGGTTATAAATCGTAGGCCGCATTGGGTGTGCTCGTTGAAGAGGACCAAGAGAGTGGCAAAGAGCAAGGATGCAAGGGAGAAGAGGATTGCTTTCGATCAAACCAGCAAACAGCCTTCGTCCAATTGTCGTCATCTATTCAACAAACGTGATTGCATGTCCCATCATGTCTTTCTCCCATCAGAGCCCTTGCCGACAACAGTCTGACCGGAACGATTCCTGATTCCATTACTGCCCTTTCAAACCTGGCTACTCTGTGAGTAATAACCTATATGCACGTCTTACCACCAGCTATGCGCACATGGTACCTAGCCCCTCTTGGAGCACATTGCATTTGCACCGAGCGTCTTGAACCTCTGTGTGCACCCTCTGTACGCACCCGCTTGGCTGTGGTTCCTTGTCCGCTAAAGGCGTGAGTGCTTGTAGGCTGCCTGTTATGGCATGCCTTCATGCCTTCATGCCATCATGCCTTCATGCCTTCATGCCATCATGCCTTCATGCCTTCATGCCTTCATGCCTTCATGCCATCATGCCTTCATGCCTTCATGCCTTCATGCCTTCATGCCATCATGCCTTCATGCCTTCATGCCTTCATGCCTTCATGCCTTCATGCCTTCATGCCTTCATGCCTTCATGCCTTCATGCCTTCATGCCTTCATGCCTTCATGCCATCATGCCTTCATGCCTTCATGCCTTCATGCCTTCATGCCTTCATGCCTTCATGCCTTCATGCCTTCATGCCTTCATGCCTTCATGCCATCATGCCTTCATGCCTTCATGCCTTCATGCCTTCATGCCTTCATGCCTTCATGCCTTCATGCCTTCATGCCTTCATGCCATCATGCCTTCATGCCTTCATGCCTTCATGCCATCATGCCTTCATGCCTTCATGCCTTCATGCCTTCATGCCATAACATCCAAGCACTCATGCCCTCCAAGCTCTCTGTGCGCACTTGATATCTAGCCCCCCTTGGACCTCTGCATGCATGCTGCCTGTACGTAAGCTTTTCTTGTTTCAGACACAAGCCAGGCTTTGTCAAAATGTTTCCTTCCTTTCACTCCTATCTTCCGTATGGCAGGCATCTCGGTGGAAACGACTTGTCCGGGCCGATACCTGGTGGAATTGGCGGCCTTACGGCTTTGACAGATCTGTGAGCCTCTTCTTCCTAAGGGGTGTATGCATCATTCTTTCTTCCCAAGGGGTGTATGCATCATTCTTTCTTCCCAAGGGGTGTATGCATCATTCTTTCTTCCCAAAGGTTGTATGCATCATTCTTTCTTCCCAAGGGGTGTATGCATCATTCTTTCTTCCCAAGGGGTGTATGCATCATTCTGTCTTCCCAAGGGGTGTATGCATCATTCTTTCTTCCCAAGGGGTGTATGCATCATTCTTCCTTCCCAAGGGGTGTATGCATCATTCTTTCTTCCCAAGGGGTGTATGCATCATTCTTTCTTCCCAAGGGGTGTATGCATCATTCTTTCTTCCCAAGGGGTGTATGCATCATTCTTCCTTCCCAAGGGGTGTATGCATCATTCTTTCTTCCCAAGGGGTGTATGCATCATTCTTTCTTCCCAAGGGGTGTATGCATCATTCTTTCTTCCCAAGGGGTGTATGCATCATTCTTTCTTCCCAAGGGGTGTATGCATCATTCTTTCTTCCCAAGGGGTGGATGCATCATTCTTTCTTCCCAAGGGGTGTATGCATCATTCTTTCTTCCCAAGGGGTGTATGCATCATTCTTTCTTCCCAAGGGGTGTATGCATCATTCTTTCTTCCCAAGGGGTGTATGCATCATTCTTTCTTCACATTCTTTCTTTCTTTCATCATTGTCAAGGATCACCGCGAACTACAAACATCCAAGGGTTTTGTATCTTGCATTTGCACGTGCAGGAACCTGACTGCAAGTGGTCTCACCTGCCCTGCAGACTACTCTCCATGCGTGGCAGCGCAGCAGCAACCTCAAAGCATCTTCTGCCGCCAGTGCCCCTCCTTCTGCGCCACCTGCAGCAAGCCGGCACCTCGTGAGCCGAAACTATCTGTTCAGCTATCCCCATCCCATGCTTTGTCTCTATCTCACAAGAGCTTTTCCTGGAGTCTCACCGCTCAGGTTCACTCCACTCCCCGAGACCCTTCTCTGCATGCATGGGGGGGGTGGGGGCATCACGCCAGCAGCAACCACCAGCAGTGCTGCTGCTCTTTCTGGACCGCAGAGTCTATTTTGAAGTTACATGTTTTGAGACGTCTCAAAGCACTACTTCTTTCACGTGCTGCTGCTCTTCTTGGACAGCAGAGTCAAATTCAAAGTGACATGCAAATGATGTTCTAGACCGATGGTATGCTGTTCGACTTGACGCCTGCTTTCTCTCCCCCCCCGTGATTGGAACCGTTGTTGTCACCACCGCTTGATACCCCACGTCTATCACTGTGCCCCCCCCTTCCCCCACCCCCACTACTACCTCCCCAGCAGCACCCCCCCCGGCCTCACCACCACCACCCCCCGCTCCTGCAAAGTCTGCCACCAAGTCCCTTGGCCTTTCGGCAGCAGCAGCCATTGCTGGCATTGCCGTGGCTCCTATGGCTTCCCTGTTGCTGCTCCTCTGCGCGTCTCTTTGAAGTTGCTCTTTGAACTTGGAGTGGATTCTGGAGGAGCCGACAATGAATTTGATGAAGCTGGCTGTGCGGTCGAGACAGCACACGCCCTGGTCATGTGATTGGCCTGTGAGACGTTGGTGTAGGCATTGGTGCCAAAGCTGAACAGGTTGATGACTACCATACGGTAGGTACTTTTGCATCTTTTTGACGGATCGGTGACAAAGGCATCGAATAGCGAGAACTGTTGGCAGTGTTGGTTTGTGGAGTAAGCATTTTGTAACACCAGTATTGGCAAGCTGGGTTCAGCAAGTTACATTGAGTATGAAGATCATCCCGCATGAGTACGAGTACCTCTTTTCTAAGCCTAGGGATAGGGATGAAGGGTTTCGGGTTCACGGTTTAGGGTTGACGTGAAGTCAGGCCTGTGGCAAGGCGCCGGGGTGCGGTGACCACTCACTTTGATGGGATAGGGGGTACATTGAGAGGCAACGAAGGGGTAGGTGTGAGGGGATACTGTTGAAGGGTAAGGAAGGGGTAGGTGTGAGGGGATGCTGTTGAAGGGTAAGGAAGGGTTTTCCAAATTGCATGTCTATCTGTTGAAGGGTTTTTTAAAGGAACACCCTCTCTGTGAACCAGCCCCCCAACCCTTCTCCCCCATTTCGCTCCCCTCCCCACAAGCTGACTTGTCTTGTATTCTCTTCCCACGACCTCTAAAACCTGCTCACAGGACGTCCATCCAGCGGCAATGCACACTGAGTACTCACAGCCACTCACTGCAGCAGCCATTCATTACCCACCCACTGAAGCAGCCCCACCCAGCAGACGCACAGGGTTTGCAGCTTTTGCAGGTTGAGCCCCCGCAATGACCTAGCCCACGAGAGTGGGGAGGTTGAGATGGTGTAGAGGGACATGGTGGTGCGGTGCTGCCAAGGCATGGAGAAATGACAACAGTGCTCCACCAGGTGTTCTGAGGGGCTGCTGGAATAACCAGGGTGCTTTAGCATTCGTGCAGTTATGGTTCAAGGACAGCCTTCCAATCGCATCCCTCGTACAATATATTTAGATTACAAGGCTACACTAACACTCCCTCGCTTATCTTGTCTTCTGCAAGAGTGCCAGCGTGCCAGCGTGGCAGAGTGCCAGCGTGGCAGCGTGCTAGTACAGCAGTGCCAGGGAGAGTGAGATAATCAGTGCTGCTGCTGCTGCAGTGACTGCAGCGGATGCAGACAGCAGGGAGGTGAGAGTTGCAGCTCCCTTGGAACGAGTACTCTCAGCAGCTGGAGGGGGGCATGCATGGGGTTGGGTGTGTCACCAGATTGGGGGGGATCAGCATGGTGAGGCCAAGCATGAGAGTCAGTTGAATGCGCATGGTGTGTGGGTGTGTGGTGTATGGTGCTTGGCGTGTGGTGTATGGTGTATGGTGTATGGTGCATGGTGCATGGTGTATGGTGCATGGTGCATGGTGTATGGTGCATGGTCTATGGTGTATGGTGCATGGTGCATGGTGTATGGTGCATGGTTTATGGTTTATGGTGTATGGTTTATGGTACATGGTGCATGGTGCATGGTTTATGGTGCATGGTGTATGGTGCATGGTGTATGGTGCATGGTGCATGGTGCATGGTGCATGGTGCATGGTGCATGGTGCATGGTGCATGGTGCATGGTGTATGGTGCATGGTGCATGGTGCATGGTTTATGGTTTATGGTGCATGGTTTATGGTGCATGGTGTATGGTGCATGGTGTATGGTGCGCGTGATGCATGATGTATGGCACGTGATGCATGGCACATGGCGAGTCCAAGTGAAATGGCTGAGCGAGAAACATGAGTACCCTTGGAGATGTATAAAAGGTGCCATGGGAGCAACGTTGCACTGTGAAAGCAATGAGGGGAGAGAGGAGAGATGGAAAAGGGGAGAGGGGGAATGTGGGGGGGGAGAGCGGTGGGGAGGGGAAGGGGATTGCTACCGGATTGCATGAGAGCGGGCAGGTTGGAGTAGAAGCGCGAGCAGCAGTGCCAAGGAGAGTGAGGGAGGGGGAAGGGGTACCAGATTGTATGAGAGCGGGCACGTTGGAATAGAAGCGCGAGCACTGGTCTGTGGGGCGCTGGGAGGGAGTCTGTTCCAGGCAGTTGCTGCTGTGGCTGGTGGGGGTATGGGGGGGGAAGGGAGGGGAAGAGAGGTTAGGGAAAGATGAGCAGCAGAAGAGCACATGTGCTTGTGAGAAGCTCATGGAATGCTGTTTTTAGACCGGGAAAGCCAGGCTGCGCTTTTCAGTCGGCAAACCAGCATCGCAGCCATGTTGGTGCAGTTTTCAGTGCAGAAGAAAGAATGTGATGGTGAGGAATCTCAGCAGAATTCCACAGCACCTAGAGCAGTGCAGCTGCGGCAGTGCACCTAGAGCAGTGCAGCTGCAGCAGTGTGTGTGTCGGAGAACACCCTTCCTCTGGCACCTGCTCTTCGTCCTGTTGCCATTCTGCTTTCTTTCCTTGCGTGTGGTGCCCCTCCTCAGCCACTCCCTGAAGGAGATCCCTCCCTCACCCTGTAGGTTCCCTCCTAGTGGCGTGCTGCTGGATGTAGGAACTAAAGCAACTAATTTCACTATGACGAGAGAATAACAAGCAGAAAGCATGGGTTGTGTGTTCCTGACTGGACTTACCTTGCCCAGGCTCCTGTCGCACATTCCCCAATGTGCGCCTCGAGTTTGGGCTGGGTCCTCTCTGATTGGTTCAATGCATTTCGCCTTGCGGTGCTTTTCCTCCCTTCCCAACGTCGAATTCGTCCTCCCCCTACTCAACCTCGAACCCTATTACCACATTTGCTACACACCAATCTACACCCGCGCAGCACTGTCATCGCATGTGCACCAAGTGCATATTTGGTGACAAGTGCACCTGCAGCAGTGCACCTGCAGCAGTGCACCTGCAGCAGTGCACCTGCAGCAGTGCACCTGGAGGTGGACGCAAAGGCAGCGTGCAGCACCTGAATTGAGCGGAGCGGCCGGCAGGAGGCTGAGGGACCGACCCGTTCAAGTAGTTGGAGGATACCTCGCTGAGGAGGGGGGGAGGGAGGGAGGGGGGATGTTTGGAGTGGCGGGTGGTGGTGATGGACGAGGCGATGGTGGTGGTACGGAATGGTTTCTGTGTGCAATGGTGGATGGGCACGGACGGATGGGTCTGGAGGGTTAACATATGCATATGCATCTGTGCATGTGTGGTTGACTCAATAGTTTGCTACTCACACAAAGGTCAGCTTGGTGGGGTTCCAGAGGGTGGGTGGCAGGCTGCCGTATAGGCTGTTGTTGAATAGCATGCTGTGGTGTGGGGGAGGGGTGGGGGTTGGACGGAAAGGGGACAAGGGAACGGAAAGGTGGGAAGGAGTGGGGGAAGGAGATGGGGGAAGGAGATGGGGGAAGGAGATGGGGGAAGGAGATGGGGGAAGGAGATGGGGGAAGGAGATGGGGGAAGGAGATGGGGGAAGGAGATGGGGGAAGGAGATGGGGAAGGAGATGGGGGAAGGAGATGGGGGAGGAGATGGGGGAAGGAGATGGGGGAAGGAGATGGGGGAAGGAGATGGGGGAAGGAGATGGGGGAAGGAGATGGGGGAAGGAGATGGGGGAAGGAGATGGGGGAAGGAGATGGGGGAAGGAGATGGGGGAAGGGATGGGGGAAGGAGATGGGGGAAGGAGATGGGGGAAGGCATGGGGGAAGGAGATGGGGGAAGGAGATGGGGGAAGGAGATGGGGGAAGGAGATGGGGGAAGGAGCTGGGGGAAGGAGATGGGGGAAGGAGATGGGGGAGGAGATGGGGGAAGGAGATGGGGGAAGGAGATGGGGGAAGGAGATGGGGGGAAGGAGATGGGGGAAGGAGATGGGGGAAGGAGATGGGGGAAGGAGATGGGGGGAAGGAGATGGGGGAAGGAGATGGGGGAAGGAGATGGGGGAAGGAAGTGGGGGTGGAGAGATTTTTATGGAAAACTGATGTGTGGTTAATTTAAGGTCGATTTACACAGGATGCAAAGTTGACTTTTGAGTCGACTCAGAAGTCATTTAAGGTCGCTTTACACAGGATGCAAAGTTGACTTTTGAGTCGACTCACAAGTCATTTAAGGTCGCTTTACACAGGATGCAAAGTTGACTTTTGAGTCGACTCAGAAGTCATTTAAGGTCGCTTTACACAGGATGCAAAGTTGACTTTTGAGTCGACTCAGAAGTCATTTAAGGTCGCTTTACACAGGATGCAAAGAAAGTGGGGAATGTAAGATGCGGACCTTGATGCGACAGGAGCAGCAAGAGAGAAGAAAGGAAGTAGAGGCAGCAGCAGCAGCAGCAGCAGCTGCAGCAGCAGCAGTAGCAGCAGGAGGAGGAGAGAAGGGAAGACAGACGCACATGTGGGAGATGTTGGGCAGTTGCAGCAGGAAGGCGGGGAAGGGCGCAGTGAGGTTGTTGTTCTGCAGGGAGACGATCTCGAGTGATGAGAGCGCCGCCCATGAGTCTGGCGGTGGGGTGAGCACTCCCGCACTGGCCAGGTCGCTGGGAGGTGGGAGCGGAGAGGAGGGTAGGTGAGGGAGAGTGGAGGTAGGATTGGGTTAGGGGGAAGCAAAAGAGAGTTGGAGGACACATGGAGGAGGGGGTGGGAGAGTTTATGAGAGAAGGGGGTGAGGGGTGGGAGGAGATGGGGTTTTGGCAGGGGTTCAAAGTAAGAGCACAACAAGACATGGAGAAGCTTATGTCGGGTAGCAGCGCAATTCACGGGGATGCTTACAGGGTGGAAGAACAGGAGCAGGAAGACGTGAGGGGTGAGGATCACAGCAGGTGCAGCACTCAAGTGATGAGGCAGGCATGTAAAGGTCGAGCATAACAGGACCTCAAGGTGAGAGGTTCTCAAGGCGGGAGATGGTGCAAGGAGGGGCGGCACTCACAGCAGGTGCAAGGAGGGGCGGCACTCACAGCAGGTGCAGGTTGGAGAGAACTGTCGAAGTCGAACAGGTGGGCTGTGGAGGCCTTATTTCCATCAATCTCTTGTTGTTTAGGACAGAGAAACAAACCCCATGCGATGATGAAAGAAAAGGGCCTGGTGTTGCGCTAGCTTAGAACGTGTCTTAGAGAGCCAGTATGAATCAACTCTTCACTATAGAATCAGAACATTGTGTAAACTAGTTTCGGCTTTGAAAAGCCTTCATCAGTACAAGCCTGAAACTAAAGACCTGAGAAGAAGCAGACTGACTAAAGTACTCTACGATCGGCTAGGCTAACCAGGATGAAGTCGGAAATGGAAAGCGAATGTGAGATGAGGCATCGAAGCGAGCAGACAGCTTCAACCCAACCCCGAGGAGACAAAAAAGGGAGTCTTCAGGGTGGTTGGTAACCAGGGTCAAAGATGTGGGGTAACCACATTGTCGCGTGAGTGGTTCACTACGACAGGTCGCAACTTCGACTGTATCAATCTTCGGCGTAAGCGGGACGGTAACCTTCACGCTAACAGGAATCTACAGGAACCAGAAGAAATATAGCCACGTGATAAAAGAGATGTTTTGAGACGTCTCAAGGCACTCACAGCAGGTGCAAGGAGGGGCGGCACTCACAGCAGGTGCAGGTTGGAGAGAGCGCTCCAGCTGCCAGGCAGGGGCCGCTGAAGCTGTTGCTGCCCAACTCGCTGGTGACGTGATGGGTGGATGGGGGGATGGGTGGATGGGGGGATGGGGGGATGGGTGGGATGGGGCGATACGTGGATGGGTGGATGAGGGCATGGGGTGATGAGGTGATGGGGGTGATGAGGTGGTGGGATGATGAGGTGGTGGGGTGTAGACATGAGCAACGGTCGAACTCGAACGTGTTCCTTTCAAACACTTTCGAACACCCCTCCAACTCGAACCGAACATGTTTGGTTCGACTCAAACAATTTTTCCAGATAGTGGTGTTTGATGTTCGCCCAAACACGAACGTGTTCGGTTCGAGCAGCCCTCTTCCCCCCTCTAAAGCCCCTTACCCCTTCTAAAGCCCCTTCCCCCTCTAAAGCCCCTTCCCCCCTCCTCCACAGCCCCCCAACCCCCCTCCACACCCTCTCCAGGCCCTGCTCCTCAAGCCCCTCCCCTTCCTGTGCCATTGAGCTTCGATCGCGACCTAGCCACGTCAAACACGCAAACATGTTTGATGTTCGACGTGCCTGGACAACAGAATTTCGAACGCTCGAACATGTTTGAAAAAAAAAAAAAAAAAACTGCTCGGTTCGACTCGGACAGGGGTTCGAATTTTTGCTCATGTCTATCCTCCAGGATGCCACCTTCAACTTCCGCCTCCTCCGCGTCCTCCAACACCTTGTAGCCCTCGCGCAAAAGTGGCTCCTCCATGTTCCATTCACTCTTCCTGGCATCACATCAGGGCACGAAAGCCACTTGCGCACAACCTTCCAGTTGTGTGCAACAACAAACAAATCCTTACACTTGGCTGATCCAAGCCGGTTCCGGCAGGCTGTGTAGACTGAATCCGGGCTGTGTAGACTGAATCCGGGCTGTGTAGACTGAATCCTACATAACCCAAGTACGCTCACAGGATGTTGCTGAGACAGGCAGGGAGAGAACCCTGATGACAACGATGGACGCCAACTTGGGAGCATGAGTGTTGTGCCGCTGCCATCACTTCACCATGATGGTCAGTGATGGTTGCGGAGAAAACGGAATAATCTCCCCTGCACGACCCACCACATTTTTCGCCCACACAATTTCCCCACGACTTCCATTCACGAACATGAACGGCGCTCGGCTTATGCTGAATGTGCGGCCATTGTGCAATCAGCTCGATGCAAACGGCCGCGTGATTCGAGCTCCCTTCCGTACAGTCGCGACCACATTTTCAGCACCCACCTCCTCCATCGCTGGCCTTAAAACTTCCAGCGACATATTCCCCGATCCTGTATTCCACAGTCAATGCACTCCCTGAAGGCACGCCGGAGTCGTTAACGAGGCGAGGAGTGCAATCACTCGGGTGGGGTGGGGCCTTCCACTCTTATCGGACATCATATTCGATGCAATAGTGACCCCGTACTGTTCCAGCTCGACTTAATTCGCGCAAGCCCCATCTCAATAGCAGTACGGCACTTGAGCAATCCGCAGCCTGGGCCGGTGGTGACCGCGGCAAAGTAGACATTATCGCAAGGAGGAGGACTAGGAGTGACTTTGATGGACTAGGAATGACGAGAAAGCAGATGGCACAGCTGGTTTAGTACCGTGCAGTTCATTGGGGAAGAGACGCATTGGAGAGGTTGGAGTTCGTACATTGTAGTATGGGTTTTAAGTGGTGGTGGTTTGAAAATTAAACGTTGAACTCTAAGCCACGACTCTGAAGTTTGAAACCATGTCCTCGTTTCCATACATATTCGACATGCATTTGGACTCCCAAGAAATGATCACCAACGAAATGCTCAACTTTTTTCACACACTCATTTTTTTCTACCCGGGCTGCCCCCCCAAAACAAAGGCTGGGTCTTTTGTAATCGCTAGCTTATAGAGGATAGCGAATACGCGCAAGCGTGTATAGGCTAAACGCAAAAGGGTTTGAGCATGTATGCCAACTCAGGGAGAACGGGAACAAGTGGTGTCTACATTCCAGTCCCATCCTCTGAGAATCATAATGACTTCTTAAGTGGATGAGGAATCAGAAGAGAAGAAATAAGGGGGGAGAGGATTAGGGGGAGGACGAGGAGAGGAGGATGGGCATATATCTACCTCTGTTTCAAACATAATGGCAGGGAAGTGGAATCTAGACTAGTCTATTATGGTGGTTGATAGTGGATGGAAACTACTGATTGCTCTTTTTTGTTCACTAGCAGAGGAGGCTCGAACTTAGGCAGGATACTCACAGGTGTTTGAGGGCAGTGAGTGCGGAGAGGCCAGAGGGAAAGGAGTCAGCAAGCTGGTTGGAGGCAAGGGAGAGGACCTCCAGGGCTGTCAGGGCGAACAGGCCTGGGGGCAGGGCGCCGGGGATGCGGTTACCACTCAGGTCGCTGGGGAGAGAAATGGGGCGGGAAGGGGGAGGGAGGGAGGCAGGGAAGGCGTGGGAGGTGAGGGTTGTAGGGAAGGGACGCCTTAACTTGTTGAGAGGCAATCTGACTTCAGTTCGATGGAGTCAGCTAACCAGCACCACCACAGCTCATGCTCACCCCCTCACAAAAGCTGACTTGTTTCGCTTCAGTCTCTTAAGAGCCTCCTTTCCTACCCTCGACCTGCCCACTGCCCAGCCAGCAATACTGCTCACTGACACCCCAGCTGCCACTCACGACCCGCCAACCGAAGCAGCCCGTACCACCAGCACAGCCCGCCCTCCCCTCCCTCCCCTCCCTCTCCCCCCAAGCAGGCGGAGCAGGGTTCACAGCAGGCAGAGCAGGGCTCACAGCAGGCGGAGCAGGGCTCACAGCAGGCGGAGCAGGGCTCACAGCAGGCGGAGCAGGGCTCACAGCAGGCGGAGCAGGTCTCACAGCAGGCGGAGCAGGGCTCACAGCAGGCGGAGCAGGGCTCACAGCAGGCGGAGCAGGGCTCTCAGCAGGCGGAGCAGGGCTCACAGCAGGCGGAGCAGGACTCACAGCAGGCGGAGCAGGGCTCACAGCAGGCGGAGCAGGGCTCACAGCAGACGGAGCAGGGCTCACAGCAGGCGGAGCAGGGCTCACAGCAGGCGGAGCAGGGCTCACAGCAGGCGGAGCAGGGCTCACAGCAGGCGGAGCAGGGCTCACAGCAGGCGGAGCAGGGCTCACAGCAGGCGGAGCAGGGCTCACAGCAGGCGGAGCAGGGCTCACAGCAGGCGGAGCAGGGCTCACAGGTTGTGCAGGTTGGAGAGCGCGGAGAGCTCGCCCACCAGGGGTGCATCCAGGGCGTTGCGCGCCAGCTGGCTGCGGAGAAGGTATGGGCGGGGGACAGGGGGGAGAAGAGGGAGAGGGGGGATTGGAGAGGGGGGGGGGAGGGGAGAAGGGTAGGGGAGCAGGGGTGGCGGGGGAGAGGGATGGGCGGGGGGGAAAGAGGCGGCAGGAACGGGGGAAAGAGGGAGAGAAGGTGAGGAGAGTGTGGTGAGTGGGGGGAGGTCAGAGCGGGTGGTGCGTGGGCGGATGAGGTCAGGTGGTGCGTGGTGAGGTCAGGTGGTGCGTGGTGAGGTCAGGTGGTGCGTGGTGAGGTCAGGTGGTGCGTGGTGAGGTCAGGTGGTGCGTGGTGAGGTCAGGTGGTGCGTGGTGAGGTCAGGTGGTGCGTGGTGAGGTCAGGTGGTGCGTGGTGAGGTCAGGTGGTGCGTGGGTTGAGGGGGCAGGGAAGCTGAAGGAGAAGGGTGTGAGGGGCGAGGGATTAACGAGCCAAGGGGGCGAGGGATTAACGAGCCAAGGGGGCGAGGGATATACGAGCCAAGGGGGCGAGGGATATACGAGCCAAGGGGGCGAGGGATGTACGAGGGGGGCGAGGGATGTACGAGCCAAGGGGGCGAGGGATATACGAGCCAAGGGGGCGAGGGATTAACGAGCCAAGGGGCGAGGGATATACGAGCCAAGGGGGCGAGGGATATACGAGCCAGGGGGCGAGGGATATACGAGCCAAGGGGCGAGGGATATACGAGCCAAGGGGGCGAGGGATAACGAGCCAAGGGGGCGAGGGATTAACGAGCCAAGGGGGCGAGGGATTAACGAGCCAAGGGGGCGAGGGATATACGAGCCAAGGGGGCGAGGGATATACGAGCCAAGGGGGCGAGGGATATACGAGCCAAGGGGGCGAGGGATTAACGAGCCAAGGGGGCGAGGGATATACGAGCCAAGGGGGCGAGGGATATACGAGCCAAGGGGGCGAGGGAAATACGAGCCAAGGGGGCGAGGGATAACGAGCCAAGGGGGCGAGGGATATACGAGCCAAGGGGGCGAGGGATAACGAGCCAAGGGGGCGAGGGATTAACGAGCCAAGGGGGCGAGGGATATACGAGCCAAGGGGGCGAGGGATTAACGAGCCAAGGGGGCGAGGGATATACGAGCCAAGGGGGCGAGGGATTAACGAGCCAAGGGGGCGAGGGATTAACGAGCCAAGGGGGCGAGGGATTAACGAGCCAAGGGGGCGAGGGATTAACGAGCCAAGGGGGCGAGGGATTAACGAGCCAAGGGGGCGAGGGATATACGAGCCAAGGGGGCGAGGGATATACGAGCCAAGGGGGCGAGGGATTAACGAGCCAAGGGGGCGAGGGATTAACGAGCCAAGGGGGCGAGGGATATACGAGCCAAGGGGGCGAGGGATATACGAGCCAAGGGGGCGAGGGATATACGAGCCAAGGGGGCGAGGGATTAACGAGCCAAGGGGGCGAGGGATTAACGAGCCAAGGGGGCGAGGGATTAACGAGCCAAGGGGGCGAGGGATTAACGAGCCAAGGGGCGAGGGATTAACGAGCCAAGGGGGCGAGGGATTAACGAGCCAAGGGGGCGAGGGATTAACGAGCCAAGGGGGCGAGGGATTAACGAGCCAAGGGGGCGAGGGATTAACGAGCCAAGGGGGCGAGGGATTAACGAGCCAAGGGGGCGAGGGATATACGAGCCAAGGGGGCGAGGGATATACGAGCCAAGGGGCGAGGGATATACGAGCCAAGGGGGCGAGGGATATACGAGCCAAGGGGGCGAGGGATATACGAGCCAAGGGGGCGAGGGATATACGAGCCAAGGGGGCGAGGGATATACGAGCCAAGGGGGCGAGGGATTAACGAGCCAAGGGGGCGAGGGATTAACGAGCCAAGGGGGCGAGGGATTAACGAGCCAAGGGGGCGAGGGATTAACGAGCCAAGGGGGCGAGGGATTAACGAGCCAAGGGGGCGAGGGATTAACGAGCCAAGGGGCGAGGGATTAACGAGCCAAGGGGGCGAGGGATTAACGAGCCAAGGGGGCGAGGGATTAACGAGCCAAGGGGGCGAGGGATAACGAGCCAAGGGGGCGAGGGATATACGAGCCAAGGGGGCGAGGGATATACGAGCCAAAGGGGCGAGGGATATACGAGCCAAGGGGGCGAGGGATATACGAGCCAAGGGGGCGAGGGATTAACGAGCCAAGGGGGCGAGGGATTAACGAGCCAAGGGGGCGAGGGATTAACGAGCCAAGGGGGCGAGGGATTAACGAGCCAAGGGGGCGAGGGATTAACGAGCCAAGGGGCGAGGGATTAACGAGCCAAGGGGGCGAGGGATTAACGAGCCAAGGGGGCGAGGGATTAACGAGCCAAGGGGGCGAGGGATTAACGAGCCAAGGGGGCGAGGGATTAACGAGCCAAGGGGGCGAGGGATATACGAGCCAAGGGGGCGAGGGATATACGAGCCAAGGGGGCGAGGGATATACGAGCCAAGGGGGCGAGGGATATACGAGCCAAGGGGGCGAGGGATTAACGAGCCAAGGGGGCGAGGGATTAACGAGCCAAGGGGGCGAGGGATTAACGAGCCAAGGGGGCGAGGGATTAACGAGCCAAGGGGGCGAGGGATTAACGAGCCAAGGGGGCGAGGGATTAACGAGCCAAGGGGGCGAGGGATTAACGAGCCAAGGGGGCGAGGGATTAACGAGCCAAAGGGGCGAGGGATTAACGAGCCAAGGGGGCGAGGGATATACGAGCAAAGGGGGCGAGGGATATACGAGCCAAGGGGGCGAGGGATATACGAGCCAAGGGGGCGAGGGATATACGAGCCAAGGGGGCGAGGGATTAACGAGCCAAGGGGGCGAGGGATTAACGAGCCAAGGGGGCGAGGGATTAACGAGCCAAGGGGGCGAGGGATTAACGAGCCAAGGGGGCGAGGGATTAACGAGCCAAGGGGGCGAGGGAGTAACGAGCCAAGGGGGCGAGGGAGTAACGAGCCAAGGGGGCGAGGGATTAACGAGCCAAGGGGGCGAGGGATTAACGAGCCAAGGGGCGAGGGAGTAACGAGCCAAGGGGGCGAGGGATTAACGAGCCAAGGGGGCGAGGGAGTAACGAGCCAAGGGGGCGAGGGATTAACGAGCCAAGGGGGCGAGGGATTAACGAGCCAAGGGGGCGAGGGATTAACGAGCCAAGGGGGCGAGGGATATACGAGCCAAGGGGGCGAGGGATATACGAGCCAAGGGGGCGAGGGATATACGAGCCAAGGGGGCGAGGGATTAACGAGCCAAGGGGGCGAGGGATTAACGAGCCAAGGGGGCGAGGGATTAACGAGCCAAGGGGGCGAGGGATTAACGAGCCAAGGGGGCGAGGGATTAACGAGCCAAGGGGGCGAGGGATTAACGAGCCAAGGGGGCGAGGGATTAACGAGCCAAGGGGGCGAGGGATTAACGAGCCAAGGGGGCGAGGGATTAACGAGCCAAGGGGGCGAGGGATTAACGAGCCAAGGGGGCGAGGGATTAACGAGCCAAGGGGCGAGGGATTTACGAGCCAAGGGGGCGAGGGATATACGAGCCAAGGGGGCGAGGGATATACGAGCCAAGGGGGCGAGGGATTAACGAGCCAAGGGGGCAAGGGATTAACGAGCCAAGGGGGCGAGGGATTAACGAGCCAAGGGGGCGAGGGATTTACGAGCCAAGGGGGCGAGGGATTAACGAGCCAAGGGGGCGAGGGATTAACGAGCCAAGGGGGCGAGGGATTAACGAGCCAAGGGGGCGAGGGATTAACGAGCCAAGGGGGCGAGGGATTAACGAGCCAAGGGGCGAGGGATTAACGAGCCAAGGGGGCGAGGGATTAACGAGCCAAGGGGGCGAGGGATATACGAGCCAAGGGGCGAGGGATATACGAGCCAAGGGGGCGAGGGATATACGAGCCAAGGGGGCGAGGGATTAACGAGCCAAGGGGGCGAGGGATTAACGAGCCAAGGGGGCGAGGGATTAACGAGCCAAGGGGGCGAGGGATTAACGAGCCAAGGGGGCGAGGGATTAACGAGCCAAGGGGGCGAGGGATTAACGAGCCAAGGGGCGAGGGATTAACGAGCCAAGGGGGCGAGGGATTAACGAGCCAAGGGGGCGAGGGATTAACGAGCCAAGGGGGCGAGGGATTAACGAGCCAAGGGGGCGAGGGATTAACGAGCCAAGGGGGCGAGGGATTAACAAGCCAAAGGGGCGAGGGATTAACGAGCCAAGGGGGCGAGGGATATACGAGCCAAGGGGCGAGGGATTAACGAGCCAAGGGGGCGAGGGATATACGAGCCAAGGGGGCGAGGGATATACGAGCCAAGGGGGCGAGGGATTAACGAGCCAAGGGGGCGAGGGATATACGAGCCAAGGGGGCGAGGGATATACGAGCCAAGGGGGCGAGGGATAACGAGCCAAGGGGGCGAGGGATATACGAGCCAAGGGGCGAGGGATTAACGAGCCAAGGGGGCGAGGGATTAACGAGCCAAGGGGGCGAGGGATTAACGAGCCAAGGGGCGAGGGATTAACGAGCCAAGGGGGCGAGGGATTAACGAGCCAAGGGGGCGAGGGATTAACGAGCCAAGGGGGCGAGGGATTAACGAGCCAAGGGGGCGAGGGATTAACGAGCCAAGGGGGCGAGGGATATACGAGCCAAGGGGGCGAGGGATATACGAGCCAAGGGGGCGAGGGATATACGAGCCAGGGGGCGAGGGATATACGAGCCAAGGGGGCGAGGGATTAACGAGCCAAGGGGGCGAGGGATTAACGAGCCAAGGGGGCGAGGGAGTAACGAGCCAAGGGGGCGAGGGAGTAACGAGCCAAGGGGGCGAGGGAGTAACGAGCCAAGGGGGCGAGGGAGTAACGAGCCAAGGGGGCGAGGGAGTAACGAGCCAAGTGGGCGAGGGATATACGAGCCAAGGGGGCGAGGGATATACGAGCCAAGGGGGCGAGGGATTAACGAGCCAAGGGGGCGAGGGATATACGAGCCAAGGGGGCGAGGGATATACGAGCCAAGGGGGCGAGGG